GATGATGATAATAATGAATTGATTATTATTTTTTTTTTTTTTTGATTCAGTGGATTTAATAATTATTTATGTGTGTGTAAAATTATATTTAATAATTAAATAAAATAAAATAAAAAACAAATCAGACAAGTCAATGTGAGGATGAAGATGATGATATAATTTTTTTTTGTTTTTAAATAAATGCAGATATTTCAATTAACTGCCGAATGAAAAAATATATATATATATATTTAATAAAATCAATAAATTTAATCATAAAATAATTAAATTATATAAATATATATATATATTTTTTTTAGATTTTTTCTTTTTTTTTTTTTTTTGTTAATTTAGAAACAAATAAAATATTGAAAATTTAGATTTTTGTTTTTGAAATAAAGAATGTGAATGTCGATTTAAATTTTTTAATTTTTTATTTTTTTTTTTTACTTTTTTGGGTTTGTATTACAATCCTTAAAAAAATCTTTATGTAATTATTTACCTGTGTTAATTTTAAATAATTACAAATATTCCTTCTCTTTTATTTATTAACTAAATTAATAAGTAAATACATAACAATATTTGTATTTTTATCAAATACACATATATATGTAAAAAAAAAAAATTGATATTTTATTACATAAGTCGGATTAAAATAAATAATATAATTGTAAATTTTTTTTTTTTTTTTTGTTTATGGAAAATTCCATAAAATCTAAATTTGCGGTTATTTTATCATTAAATAAACTTAAAAAAGAAATTTTTTTTCATTTTATCAGGAGATCATTGCTCCCCTTTTAAAGATTATTGACGTGACGTAAGTAAAAGATGATGACGTAGTACGTTAAAATTTTTTTTTTTTTATCATATTAAGATTTTCGAAAAAGAAAAAAAACATAACGATATTTAATTACTTGTTATTTTTTCACTATTATATTAAATAAACATTAAAACTTATTATTAATTCAAAAAAAAAACGTTACAAAAAAAAAAACAAATTTTTTGACGTTAACGTTTTTTTGTGACGTCATCAAAAAATTTAATTCCACGTCCGTGATCAAATTTCAATGGACGACTCCGACACAAACAACAACAACAATCCGGTATTAAATTTTGTTTTTACAAAAAAAAAAAATTTAATTTAATTTCGCAACGTGTGAGTATTATAAACCATTTCCTGTTTCTTTTTTTTTTTTTTTTAAATATAAAATATGTTTAAAAATGATAAGATATTGTAATAATCATGCCTATTGAAATAAACTTTCTTTTGTAAGTTCATCCACGCAATGTATGTAAAAAAAAATGAGGGAAAAAATAATTTCAATATGGCGGCCAAAATAAAATCTTTAATTCAAAAAAAAAAAAAAAAAGAAATTTCTTTTTTTAAAATTAGTTTTCTTATGGAATACCTTAGCAGGTATTTATTATTACACTTTTTGAACCTGATTCCGATAAAATTTTTATCATACAATTAATATTTTATTATGGTTTTTTATTATTATTAGCATTGAAGTTTTTAAAATAAAAAAAAAAACTGAAGTATTTTTAATTAATTTTTTTCTTTTTTTTCAATATATATATATTATTTTGTGATAAATGATGTAATTTTTTTTTTATGGCAAATTTTTTTTTTTTACAATAACTTGCCATTCAAGAATTATAATTTTTTTTTTTTTTCACTTTTAATTAGCATCTGGATTTATATGCATTTAAAAAAAATTTTTTTTTTCTTGCACTTTTTTTTACCTAAAATTAATCAAAACAAATTTTATATTTAATAAATGATTATTATTAATACATTAATAAACAATTTATACAATATTTATTTGTTTTTCAGATGTATAAATTTTTTTTTGTGTGGACAAAATAAGACACACTTTTGTGATGAAATGAACAAATATCATCATATACAAGAAGAAACAACAACATGCTGAGTTATTATTCATTACATTCAATGTTTCAAACCACATAAATAAATAATAATAATAATAATATCTTAGGTAATAATAATAATAATAATGATTTAAAATAAATATTACTTTAGTATATAAGTACCCTGTTTCTAACTTATGTTGCTATAAAAAGACAGAAATCATATTCAATAAGTTTTCTTTTGCAATATTTAAAGTCGTTTATATTAATAAAAACGTTTAGTTCTTGTTGTGTATGTCGTGAGTCGCGATTTAAAATAATAATTTTTTTATTTATTTAATAAAATAAAACGCGAAAATAATTATAATCATGTATAAAAATTAATTAATTTCTTTTTTCTTTATTATTATTATTATTATTATTTTTATACAAAAATTTATAATTTGTGCACAATATAAATAAATAAATAAATAATTTGAAAAATAATATGAACAACTTGAAATAATATATATAATATGAAATTGTTTTCAAATATGAAAAGCAAAATATCGGATATAATTGGATATTTATCTGTCCATTGGAAATTTTTAATTATTATTTTGGTTCCTGTTATTTTTCTTCCTTTGTTATTTATTGGAAGTGGAAAGGTTTGTCACCCTTTTTTTTTTTAAAATTATTTTTTAAATTTGATTAAAAGACAAGACAACAATTTTGACAAGACAAATATTTTTGGTTTCATTCACATATATTTTTTGTGTTTTATGTCAAAAATTTTTATGTTAAAATTATCAATAATAATATTTGTCTCTATTAAAATAAGGTTTTGTAGGTTTTTTCATCAATATTGACAGGTTTAAATATTTTTTATATTGAGGGCAGTGACACTCATAAAAATCTAATTATTAAAGGAGGAATCATGTGTTTGTTTTTATATTGAGAGTTTTTGTTTATGATCGTTTGAATGGGTTTAAAAAATTTTTTTTTTTTTTTTTTGTTTATGTAAGTAATTTTGTATTTAGATCGTTACAAATCTACTCCACCTCGTCGTCAATTTAATTTCAAATTTAAATAACTTAATTAAACGCATTTTTCGACATTTTTTTTTTTTTTTTTTTTTTTTACCGTTAATTAATAACAATGGCGAATGTTTAAATGCTTCGTAACTTTTTTCAAATCGTAATTAAGTGTTTTATTATTTTTTTATCGTCATTCCATTTCCCCCCCCTCCCCTTCGTTGCAATTTTAGGTTTTCATCTGTCAAAAAAATTAAATGACAAGAAGTGATGATGATGATAACTTTTGCACATGACGGGGTCGATTTAAAAAAATTTTTCGACCATAATCTTGACCCTATTGCAGGTTTTATACGTCATAATAAGTTTTTTATTATTATTATTACTTTTTTTTTTAATATTTTATGTCACACACGATTTTTTTTCCTTGAGTAAAAGATTTAAATTTTACGTTCGATAATAAAATTCTACTAACACTTGACCTTAACACATATAATAACCTTAAATTGATCAATCGAAGAATTAAGAAATAATAATGATACCAATCAAAAACTGTTGTTGAATCTCCCTATAACGTGCAAAAACAAGTTTGACTATACATGATGTAACAACAACAACAACAACAACAACAACAATTCGTACAGGCACAATTCGATAAAGTCGTTCACGATTTTCAAGGTTTATAACAAAATTTACAAAAAATTAAAAGGGTAAATGTTTAATAATAATAATAATAATAATAATAATAATAATATATCCTCTGTTCTCATTTATGTGAGTAAAGTCATTTTTTTTTTGACCCCCTTTCATTTTGACATCTTCTCATCAATAATAATATGTTTGTTTGTTTGTTTTCCTGTTGTTGTTACAATTTATCTAAATAATAATAATAATAATAATAATCTACCGATGTTTAACTTTTTTAGATAATAAAATAAATAGAATAATCTTTCAATGTCTACACCAATTGCCAAGGTCTTTTTTTTTTTTCTACAGCCTAATTTTATAAATTTTAATATTGCAAATGTCTGTTTTAAAATTACATCCTTTATTAATAAAAAAAATAGTAATAGTAATAATAATAATAATAATCAAGAATGAAATTTTAAACCGATTTGTTTAAAAGTAGAAGAGATGAAATAAAGATTTAAATAAAATAATTTTTTGTCATTCAAAAGTTTTACATTATTAATTTTATTTATATTTACATTTTAAACTGTTGCTGTTGCTGTTGTCATTTTTTTTAGTTATGATATTTTTTTTGTTTTTAATAGGAAGCAAAATGTGGATATGTAATATGTGTAATGGCTCTCTATTGGGTATCAGAAGCGCTACCACTTCCGATCACTTCGATTATACCAATCGTACTTTTTCCAGTTTTTGGTATTTTATCCACAGAAGAAGTTTCAATGATATATTTCAAAGAGACAAATGTCATGTTTTTAGGTAATGAAAAAAATTCATCTATTGTTTGTTCCATCATTTTCATTTAAATAACAATATTTAAATTACTTTTTTTTTTTTTTTTTCCAGGAAGTGTTATATTGGCCATTGCCGTAGAGCATTGCAATTTACATAAAAGAATTGCTCTTGGAACAATGTTAAAAGTTGGAACTAGTCCCAATAGGTTATAGACATAATTTATTATTAAATTTTTATTTAAATAAACAAAAAACTCAAATCATATTGTTTTTATTCTTTTCTTTAATAAAAAAAAAAAAAATAATTATGGGTGGTGGTTTTGTAATTATATAGCCAATAATTTAACAACAACAAAAACTTTCTCTTTTAAGGCTTATGTTGGGTTTCATGGTGACAACAATGTTTCTATCAATGTGGATATGCAATTCAGCAGCTACAGCCATGATGACTCCTATTGTAGCAGCTGTTTTAAATGAACTCAAACAGGCATGTTATTTTTACTTCTCTTCATTAGTAAAAATTTACAATTAATTTGAGTTTTATTAATGATTTATTTAAAATGTTAGCAAAAAGAAAATGGTGGAAGGAGGAAAATAACTCTACCTGAAACGGGTGAAGTTGTTACGTCAATGCAAGACAGTGGAACTTTTGATAGCGAAACAAGACGTGAATCAGCTGCAAATGTCGATTTAAGGTTTGCTACCTTAATATCCA